GAGTCTTCAGGATCTATACTATCAGCACTGAGAAATAACATTGCATCGCCTGTAGGAAAGAACAGAGATACTTAATAAATTAGATCTGCGATTTACTTAAAAGGAGATAAGTTAGATATATCAGAAGTATTTACTTACCATCCAACTTCTCCAACAAATACTGGTTGATTGTGTTGACATCTTCATTTGTTGGTGCTAGAATGGCTCTCTTTTGGAAGAACTTAGCATCCTTTTCTTTTAGCTTTGCTGGATCTCCATAAATCTCTAGAGTAATGGATTCAATGGGATTATCTGCTTCAGTAATTAGCAGTTCTTCAGGTATATCAATTAGAGCCTCACCGTCATTTGGCTCTGAAATTCTACCATCACCAACAGCTAAAAGCCAATCTGAGAATTCTTTAATGTCTTTAGCTTCTTCTACACTCAAATCGTTTTTTAGTAGCCGCATGTTCTTAGTGAGCTTTAGTACCTTACAGTGATCCCAAAGATAAGAAGCATTTAGGGCTGCCATGACAATTTCAGCTCTGCCAGCACCAGTGATTACAGGAAGAACTTGTCTAAAATCACCTCCAAAAACAACAACCTTTCCACCAAACACTTTGCTATCTATATTACCAATTATATCACAGAAACTTTTGTCTAGAGATTCAAAACACCACTTGCTCATCATAGGTGCTTCATCCCATATAATAAGTTTAGCTTTCCTTATTAGATCTGCAAGGTCAGACTTCTTAGGTATTTTGCACACTGAATACTCATCGGGGGTAAGTGGTATGGCAAACCTTGAATGCGCAGTTCTACCACCTTCCAACAGCAATGAAGCGATTCCACTGGAAGCCACGTTAAGAACTATATCTCCTCTAGATCTAATAGCAGCTGAAAGTGTTTTCCAAATAAACGTTTTTCCTGTACCTCCAAATCCATAAACAAAAAAAACTCCACCTAGTTCATTGAAAACAGCACCAGTAATTTCATCATAAACACCTCTCTGCTCTGGTGTTAACATCTCTATCCATTCCGCATGTTTTTCAGTCAAATCCTGACGGTCATATCGCATCTCATCAACGATCAAACGATTAGAATTATCAATACCTTCTCTAGTTGGGCGGGGAAAGTTTTGTATATCTGTAAGAGTACCTCCATTAAACAACAAAATTTTCTCCAGTTCTTGAAGAGTGTAGTTTTTGATTTCTGCTTCTGTAAGATTCAGCTCTGCATATATTGCAAAAAGATTGATTTAACATCAACGGATTTCCATATAAATAGAACTAATCAAAAAGGTAATTAAATCTAGGCACAGGAATTAATATCTGAATTAACCTTGATTGTTGAACTCGTCCCTCTTCTTCTGTTGCATATCTTCAGCTAACAAAGGCCATACCTGTTCCCAAACATATTCTGGTCTAGAAAGAGAAGTAGACAGTAGCAACATAGCGAAAAAATTCCTCAACCAATCACCAAAACAAAACTGACTGGCATCCACCAAACTGTCTATGTATACCTGGTCATCATCTAGGATTCCACGAGCAAAACATGCTTCTTTGTAAGTTGCATAGACAACACCCTTGTATGTTTTTATATCAGCAAAACATGTTGGACCCCTGACTATGTTAAGGAGGACTCTTAGAAAGTATTCATCTTCTAGCTTCCTTGGAACATAATTAATACGACCCAAGGAGAACCCTCTAGACCTCTTGTTCCACTGCTTATTATTCCCATCCCAAGTAAAATATGCAGGGATTTCTGCATATAAGAGCTCTTGAGCACGCTTTCCATTCTTTCCAATAGCATTAAGCCTATTCAATGTCAGCCAGGCCATGAACATGGAATCCTGATTGATAATTCTTTCTAATACTTCTGTTATATCCTCCTTCCCTTTAAAATAAGCTGGTTGCTTCCCTTCAACATGGAAAGACAGCTTCTGAACAGGTGTTGATTTATGCTGGATTGGAAACTTATATATCCTCCAAATAGCCTCTGATGCAGAAACATATCTGCAGTTTTTACACGGTATCATTAATCTTAAGATGTTAAGTATATGACTATAGAATAAAAATAAGTAAAACAGAAGTCACATTACTCAATTTACCTGCAATCGAAATAATCTTTTATTTCATTCTTTTTTTTCTCCTCTGGTAATGATTCATGAGTAACGGAGCTTCCATCTATATTTGAACCTTGTTCTGTCGTTGGCGGTTTATCAGGCTCAACAACAAATGCCATTTTATCTGGACCTTTATTAATATACTTGAATAAGTATTTAATAGAGCCGGTTTGATTACACCATTCAACATTGATGTGAGCACCATATCTAACAGATAGCTTCTTATTGTAAGGGACAACATACCTATTGTCACATTGAATACCACATTTCTCAACATAGTTATCAGAGCGTCTTCTCCTATACACAGGAAAACCATCAGCCCAACCTTTGTGATTTCCTCATAGTTCTTAGGATACTGTTTTGAACACTGTCCATCGACCATACACGGAGAATTCATATTTGCTGCACCACATGGACCATGAATCATTGAATTTTTAATAACCTCATACAGCTCTGGTTCTGTCTCCTTATCTGGAATCTCAGCAGAAATCATCTTGTCAATATCAGCAGCTGTTGGAAGTTTACTTTTAGCATCCATGAATAAAAGAATGTGAGCATGGGGAAGGCCTCTTTTCTGAAATTCGACTGTATACATAGCTGAAAAAAAAAAATACACACATCATTTTCAATATGTTATCTTTCACCTAATCCACTGAATTATCAAAATGAAGAAAACTTACAGGCAACAGTCTTCCCAAGCATTTTCTTTTCTGTTAGATCATTCATTAGGGAATCCAACTTCATTTTGAAAATCCTAGCAACAATGTCTGGCCGATCTTCAGCTGTTAACCCTCTCTCTGTAACGTATCTGGTAATCTCAGGCCACTTAGGGTTGCATGTAAATGTGATGAATAAATCTGGGAAACCGTAATGTTTACATATGGCCATAGCATCATAGTAACTTTGCACCATATACCTAGGTCCACCAGTGAATGAGGCTGGAATCAAGATTTGATTGCCTTCATCTTCCATATTTTTTACACCAGAGTCAGCAGCTTCTTTGATGGAGCTGTAGTTCTCACATCTAAGCTTAGACTGATTGAACCTTATGTAGCATAGCCGATTAGATTCAATAGTTGTGTAAGCGTCACAAAGAAACTGCTGAAACAACCTCTTAGATAGTAGCAGAGTATGGCACTCACCAGGCCTCTCTTGAATGCGAAAAGCAAACCACTGACGCATACTAATACACTTTTTCTTCTTATTGTTAGTGACATTCCCTTTATAACACTTCTCGATACCAGGCCTATATCCATCTTCACCATAGCAGAAAATCAGAGGATATTGTAGAGCTAGATAAGAAATGTGAATCTGGTTAATCCTTTTGAGGTGACCTGTAGTTCTTTCTTCAATAACTATATCACGATTTGGCATATCATCTGTAAAATCTCCTGGTATTAAAGCTGCAACCTCTGATGTAGTAGGCATGCTGTAAGTCCTTCCATCTACACCCTTACGACCAGAGCATATCCTCATATGAAATGGCTGGCAGTTAATATCTTTAAATCTTTCCTTCGCAATTCGGAAATTCTTGACATAAGGATTGCAGAGATTGAGCATCTTCATAATGGCTTCGATTGTTTCCTTGTTCAGATTCTGTTTACCTCCACCTTGGTTGGATTCCTTGCCCTTTCTAGAAAACAGGAAGTAATGAAAGAGTTTTAAGTGAAAAGATAACAGAACAACAGAAGCAGTAAATCCAAAAAAGTTAAAAGTCTTAGAAATTAATACCCGATAACAGTTGCTCTGTTTTCTACTTCATTTTCAGTGTCAACAATATATAACTGTGAATACTTAGCATAGTCACCAACTGCAGGCTTTAAACTGCCAATCAAATGATAGTTACCTCCTTGCATTCGAAACATGCTAGGTCCGTGACCTTTCGGTATAGATTTATCAACTTTTCCACCAAGTGAGGTCATTGCAAAGACCATATTAAAGATCCTGGCATGCTTTCTGTAATTTCTACTCTGTGCATCATTACCAGTAAGAAGTTTCTTGATTAAATCTGGTGACTCTTTAAGAAAAGGTAATTTAACAGAACCCTGACCACAACAGAGTGTAAAAGTAGGATCCTTTTGATTACGTCTTTTGTTTATACGCTCAGCATACCACATTAAAGCACCACAATACTTACACTGGTAAGTAGGATCTCCATGATCAAGATAAGCTGAAAACAAAAGAGATAATATATGGTTAGCAGATATCAGATAACCATATTATTTCTCAAAGTACAATAATAAACTCAGACATACTTAATTTCATGTTCTTTCTAGCCTTGACACGTGTTTTTTTTTTTGTTTGATTATCTGTTTGTTGTGTTTGATGCTGATTGGGATCATTTCTTGATTCTACAGTGTGAATAGGTTCTGATGAAACATCAATGTTTGCATCTGCGTCCATTGTCTGAATATGTATAACTGAACTTTCATCCTCACTGCTACTATGGTCATAATTTTGCACCACTGCTTCATCTTCACTCAAATCAACAGAGTAATTTGCATCATACATCTCCTCATCACTGCTATTCTCCATGAAGTCTGTATCATTAGTTTCTGTAGCAGAGTGTCCTATAGGAGATATAATTGTAAAAAAGTTCATTATTCAGTTAATGAATGTAGAATATCGGTCGAAAACTAAGGGTACAAATATTACCTTTATGATAAGAAGATGATCCTGCATCTGTAAAGTCTGAATGAAGATTTTTTCTGGGCAAGTTTGTTGTCTGAGAAATTAATCTCGATGGTTGCTTGGTAGTTATACATGAAGAACTACCAAAACATTGGTTCCCTGAAAGAAAATAGATTGTAAAAATGATAGCAAGTAAATAACAAACTATCCTTATCTAAAAAAATCAAATAATTAACCTAGTCTTGGTCTTGTTTCAGAGGGTGGTGGCATAAGAGGAGTTTGACCAGTACCTAGGGTCATATCCCTAAGTCCTAATGGAGTGGATACTGAAGTAGATAAAATGCTTATGGGAGAGACAGAAGTTAAGTGGCTTCCATGGGGTGTACCTGTATCAATTACAGAAAATTGGTACTACTTTACTCTATCAAGTCAATGATTGCACTTTATACAGTTATGTAAAAAAACTTGTGAATGACATAAAATGTTTAATGCCTACCTCTTACTATTGTCTTCTTTAGTGCAGACCTAACCGTTGGTGGATCCTCAGACATAACAGTTGGTATAACAGGAGTTGATGAAAGGTTAGTAATATCTTGCAAAACAGTATTGAATGCAGAACGTAGAGGGACAGAACCATTAGAGACAGGTGTATTAGAACGTGGAATACTTCTGCTAGTATTGATTGCCTCATTCCTCCGCCATCTTTTAGGTGGGGTGGAATAGAACTCTATGTTTTCATTGTTAGGTGCTGTTTTTTTACTCATTATTCCTGTTTGGAACAATTGCTAGAACTCTCTAAGCAAAAATAAATCTGGTGTTAGGATTTAAATGGTCATGGTCATATATATTATTAATTCTCTATCACAAATGATATTCACATTTCCTTTAGAGTCGGTTGGAGTATATATAGGAACAGGATATATTATCTTTAATGGTTATCTAATTTTGATCACATATATTTGAATTGATAGTATTATACTGATTGAATAACAAATTTCCGCATATATAGTGTTATCGAGATAACTAAGGAAATTGTATATTGTTTGTACCAACAGGAGATTGGAAAAAGATATGCCATGGATTCTTCAAATTCAGCATTAACTACATAGCGTTAAAGGTAAAATACTATCCTCCAAAGTAGATTTCTGGATAGTACAATTAGACCAAACTAATGATAAAATGTCTAAGTTATATCATATAAAGAAAACGATTTACCACTGAGCAATACTTCCTTTTATGATAAGTAGAGTTGATCATATATTGTATATTTCTTGATATAGAACAAACAGAATTGAACAATAAATAGTAGATTAACCATACATTTAGTTATCAACACAACATCTACTAAACACAACAGAAACTAACAGTTAACTGTTTGTTGGAATATAAAAAGTCGATAACCATTAACTTAATGAAAAATAAGTAGTTTTGAGTCAATTGAACATGAAGTAAAAAGAAACTAAACACAAAAGGAAGTTTACATAATAAAACCATAGATAAAATTAAAAGTAGCTTCCACAACACTAAGATAAACAAAAAACATTCTTCAAACCAAATTGCCATTTAGTTCAATTGATCCAACTCCATTGCCACATCCTTCTTATCAGTTTGTCCATCTGTCCAGCAACGGCTGAAAAAATTTAAGAATCACAATAATGAATTCATACTTCAATATATTCAATTCCTTAGTTGATTCCAGATGAATATACTTACATGTATCTCGGGATGTCAACATCTAGGAAAGTTGGATCAAGAAAAATCCTTGAACTACCATACTCACTCATTAGACAGTTCTTGCCTAAACAAAAACATTTTGATTATAATCAGTCTAATTATGTATGGTTTTTAATAAGAACAATAATATAGCACATTACTGTGGGTGAAACTCACCTTCGAAATCTGAAACCCTCCAGAAACGCAACACAATGACTACTGGGTCATAATTGTAAGTGACAGAAGTTATGTGCCTAAACCATTTAGTCACAAGCAACTGACAGGACCTACCCACAGCAACACAGTTTGTAACCCTGCCCCTAAATGATTAAATTTGGAAAGAATTAAATAGATGATTATTACAACTGTTCTTGATTTGATATATAGAGGTGAAGTAAACTTACATGTCATCTTTGATTTCGAAAAGAACATATCTGGATTCATAGTCTGTCTCGCCTTCACGACAAACAAATGGGAATCTTTGAATAGCAGAGACTTTAGAGATCACACCAATAGCATCTGATAGGGAAGACATAACAGTTATTGAATTAAATCTGAAGCAATGTTACAGTTATTCTGAAAGAGAATTCTGTATTACAGCATAACCTGTAACATATTCTTTATCTTGAGCACCAGCATACTCAACTTCATCAGAATGAATGAAGTTGAAGAAATTGCTATTTGATCTAGGACTAACAGGCCACATAGTTGTAGGCCATATACACTGTAGTGCAAAACGATTCCAAGCGTATTTAACAGGGTTAGCAGATGGTACAACATGGAAGTCAGCCATGTAGTACCACTGACCCTCCTTGAGACCTTGACGAAAATTGTATAAGTAATTTCCAGGAGGAATAAATGCATCAATCATATTGGCCTAGACATATAAGAAGAAATACAAAATTAGTTATCCACAGAATACTGCAAAAGAATAACTCTGAAAATAATATACCTTTTCATCGGCGAGTATCATTTTTGTTGGTTCTGCAAAAGCGTCGATGCCTTGATTCCAGATAGACAAAATCTTCACGTACAAAGTCCATCTAGGCCTCTGAAGGTTTAGATCAGAAATGTAGTCAATAGTACCCATTGGATTTTTGCAGAGTTAACTTTGGAGAGGTTTTAAGATAGAAAGATGATGCACTGTGGGAAACCTAGAGGTTATGTCATGATATATAAAGAATATAGAAGGGATTTCGTGTATAGATCTAGAAGGCACGAAAAAAATGGAAAAATATATTGAAAATCAAATAACCGACTTAATATATGTTAAGTAAGTTATAATAAAGAGAGGAAATTGAATCGTTAGAGATAAGGAAATCAAATAATAATCATAAAAGTATAGCAATGATTGTAATTATTCATTTATGGATAGTTACTTGTTTCGATGCATATTTGATAAATGGTAAAGAGATTCAAAGTCAGATTTAACTGCTCACGTCTCATATCAGATGTGCAGCTCTATGTAATGATTACTTTAATTTGGATTATAAATAATATTATCTATAGTTTATATATATGTTTTTTAGTAGATTATCATATACAGGTATAAATACTGTACATCTATATTTCACTCTATGTTTGCAGGCAGTAAGATCCTTTACTTAACAATATATACTATGGAGCATTTACTTCTGTTAAAGAGTCAGCATTTAAACAGGTACATACACATTAACATGTATATAGAGTTTCCAAATTAGATAGACACATATAATAAAAAATGAAAAGTTTACTTATTATTGAATGGAAATAACGAAAATACTAAGTTCATTGGGAAACTTAAATAACTAAAGGGAAACAACTGTTTAAAGTAAATGAAAATAGAAAGATCAAAGGGGAAAACAATAAGAAAACATGACTAAAACCGACACTCCCATTTCACTGATCATGAGATCACTTCTTTTCCTTCTTGATCTCCCTCTTGATCTTGACACTCATCAACTTTTCCACCGGCTTGACCTCCACCTTCTGTCCATTGACAGATACACCATCATCAATCTTAACACCTTCACCTTTGATCACACCATCCTTAACATCTCCAGCACCATGTTCATCATCCTTCTTTCCAGAATCAACCTCAAATCTAAACTCTGGTGAGGACTTAACCAAGTCCACAGGCTGAATACAAACCTTCTTAGAACTTGAGGCTTGATCAGTTTCAGAACTGTTTAGGGCATAAACACGTTTAGACGATGGAGTAACTGAGTCTTCTGTATCCTGACTCATTGTCAACAACAGTGGCTGCATTTCATAGTAAGTTGGTTAGTAATGAGTGGAAATATAATGATGCATACTTTAGTAGGGAATAAAAGAAAATATTACCTGGTCTCCAGAAACAATTGATGCAGGATTGACCAACTGATCTGAATCTTCTGGGGCCTCATCTCCTAAGAGACCGTGTTTAGACAGCACCCTGGAAACTTTGTAACAATCTTTCCCATCCCAAATGTTTTCTTTCTCAACACAGAGAAGAAAAAGGAAAGTCTTCCCTTTCAAATTCTGAACCACATCTGGCAGGTCTTCTGGATCCTCAATCTAGAAGTGTTAAATAGAATATTTTTAAAACATTAGAAACAGGTGGTGTTCAAGCCTAATCTCATGTCAACAGATTCAAATAGTTACCTCATCAAACGATCCACCTAACACAGTTGCTGCAGATTCACCAACAATGTCTGCACATATACTATCAAACAGAAGGCATTTTGTTTCACCTGTGTTGTCCATCACTTTAGCATAAAGCATGTACCTGCATGGTATAATAGATAATTAGGAAACTATCAAACTGTACAGATTGTACAATTCAGACAGTTGGGAAACACAGAATTTACATACTTTGCAACAACATTTGTGACAGCATTCTTGCAGACATCACACCAGAATCTAGGTTTTGGCTTCTTCAATGAACCGGAATTAATACCAGAATGTATGTGTGTTACCTTTTTGTTGCAATTACGGCAACTAAAGTAATACCATGCCCAGTCAGTGTCAATTCCATAGATTGTACAAACAACCCTAACTTTACCAATCTGCAAAGACAACATACACCAGTTAATATCAGGAATAATTCTAAATTTAAGATATAAATCAGATAAAGTAATATAACCTCCATAGAACTCAATAGCTCTGAAATTGTCTTCCTCTCATACTGCAGATAGGAATCATCCTTTGCCACTGTAACCATTTGAAACTTGGGCACACTCTCACGGAATGTAAGGGCAAGGCCGTCAGCAGGTAAACTGTAAAACATAGTTAGTTGAATCAGAACAGAACGGTTTTTTGTTCAGTAACTTAAGTACACTAATCTGTTGAAAACTCTTACGCTGTTAGAAAAGCTGCAACCTCTGGGATAGGTGGATTGATGAGAACTTGAGTAGCATCAAAAGAGTTAGATATACTTCTCACTCCTGAAAAGAAAGGTTTAGAACAAAGTTCCTTTGTAGAGTAGATATCTGATTGTAGATATAGGAGAGGTTCATAGATAATAAGTGAATAAGATTAAAGGTAAAAACCTTTGTATGCCTTAATCTTGGCAAATCTGATAAGACAGATGACTCTGGCTCCATCAGCAGCATCGCAGGCATTAAACACTTGCTGAGCGAATGATCCCCACAGGGTACAGGACAGTCGCTCATCACTAACACAAATCATTTATCAGTTATACTAAAGTAATAATAAAAACATAATAACATTAGTATCTACTGCCATTTACTTTTATTATGAAGACTTACTTTTCATCACGCAATTCAAAGTCCAACTTAGTAGTTGGCTTGTTATTAGCTTCCAGAGTTTCCAACTCACCGATGTTAACAACCTGTCCCATAACATCTAAATAGAACAAACAATCTAGTTAGTAATATTCACTAAATAGTAATAGCAACTTTAATTAAAATATTTAAATGTCTTACCAATCAACATGTAAGGATTTAAGTCCCCATTCAGAATGTTTGGGAAAGTAGCCAAGGACAGGTAGCTGGAGTCAGAGACTGGATCACATCGCAGGACAGTTGTCCCAGTGACAAAGGACATCTTATAGAGATGACCAGTTGGTCGGAATTGACCAGATGCATGATTAAGAGCAAAGGTCTCAATAAACCTCCACTCATTAACAGGCAGATGGTTCACATACTTGCTAACCAAGTCCTTCTTGATAGATGCATGAATCTTCATACCCTGTTAACAAAAGAAAAGACATATGATTAACTATCAATGTATTTAAGTAAGTATCAATATGATAGTTTTAGGAGTTTTATATATGTAGACATATAGTTACCTGTGCATCAGCCACTACTAACTCTAGTGTTTCTCCTGTGAGGTTAGTATACTGGCGCCATGAGTGAAGCACCTTAACTTGCACACGCCAGGAGGTCTTGTAAGGCCTGATGTCTCTCAAGAAAGCAAAAGAGGCAGCCATTTCAATTATCTGGTATGTATTTAGCTGTGTTAGTGTTTCTATTGTGAAGCGTGAAGAATATCATAGAAATGTTTCAATATATATAGTGAATTGGTAGGGAATTAAGGATTTGTGATAGAATCCACGCATATCTTGATTACCACGGTTTGAATATCAGAAAAAATATTCTGATTGGCATATACTGTGAGCAAATAAGGATCATATCTTTTTGGTTAGGGACAGTTGACATATACTTGAGATACCAAATCGTCTGAGTAATAACTGATAGTGTAATCGAAATGAATGAGAGATATTATGTGGATTTTTTGTTTTGGGAAGTTGGAGTTATAGCATATACTGTGAGAAAATAAGGATCATATCTTTTTTATTAGAGGCAGTTGACATCTACTTGATAGTGTAATCGAAATGAATGAGAGATTTTATGTGGATTTTTTTTTTGGTAAGTTGTATTAGTAGGATATACTCCGAAATCTATGCTAATGGTTAAGGTAAGTATCATAACTATATGGCTAACGATTATTGCGGGGCAGTTATAAGAGAATATTTAGTCGAAATAGTTGATTTTTTTTTGGAAATTCGAATTTAAAAGGATCGGAGAGTTTTGATTGGAGGATGAGTCGGGTCAAAAAATCTAATCGGGTCAAAATCTTAAAAAAAACCCGACCCGATTGGCTTTGAGCAAAAATGTACTTCAAAAATGTTAAGTAGATTTCTTTTAACCAAAAATAAGTTCAACAAAAATTTCAACTGAGTAACGGGTCAGAATTTGAATATTTATATTCAATTTCATACATTTATTTTTGAAATGTATTATTTTATATACTACAATAAGATTTTTAAATATTTTAATTTGCAACATATAAAATTAGTTTTACTTGATATTTTTCAAGAATATCATCAATATTTAAAGAATATCATCAATAAATACTCTAATTTGATTTTTTTATAACAAATATTTATAATAGGCAGTGGGCTAAATATAATATATTATATTAACAAATTTGTTATGATCCTTATAACTGTTTGAATATTTCTATTTAATTTCATATAATTCTTTTTTGAAATTCATAATTTTATATACTACAAGAAATATTTTTAAAGATTTTAATTTGGAACATTTAAAAATAGTTTAATTTAATATTTTAATGAATATCATAAATATTTAATAGATTAAAAAGATATAAAAAAATTATAAATAATTTAATTTGATTTTTTTAAAAGATATATTTAAAATAGTTATAGTAGACGGAGGGTTAAATGTAATATATTATATGATATAAAATTATCCTTATAATAGACGGCATGTTAAGATTATATGATAAGATAGATTAAATAAGGTTTAAACACAAAATATTTGAAAATTTGATTGTGCAAGCAATTTTGGAAATAACGAATAATAGATTGTGCACGCAATATTTTCATTAGGATTCTAAAATAAAAATATAGACTTCACGCACGGGTTGAATTTGATATATTATATACTAAATAGAGAGACTCACAAAAATGACCCTTTTTCAATACCCCTTTTCAAAAATGCCCCCTTTAGCTGTCCATTTTTAAAAATACCCCTTTTTATGTACAAAATGACTAAATTACCCTTCTTTTAATAAAAAATATCACAAATATATAAGGAAATATAACAAAATTAGGTCCACAAAATACAAAATATTTTTTGGCGGGAAAAGTGATCCCTCAATTTTTCCCGCCAAAACACTTGTAAAAACTTGTAAAACCTTTAAAATACCTTGTAAAATTTTCCCGTAAAATTTTTTTCCGCCAAAAAATTTTCCCGCCAAAAAATTTTTTTTGCGGGAAAAGTGATTCCGTAATTTTTTTGGCGTTAAATTTTTGGCGGGAAAAATTTACAAGGTATTTTAAAGGTTTTTTACAGGGTATTTATAAGGTTTTACAATGTATTTTAAAAGGTTTTACAACGTATTTATAAGGTATTTATAAGATATTATAAGATTTTACAAGCTATTTTATAAGGTTTTACAAGTTATAAGATTTTACAAGTTTTTTATAAGGTTTTACAAGTTTTTTACAAGTTATAAATTCCTTATAAAACTTTATAAGTACCTTGTAAAACCTTTTAAAATACATTGTAAACCCTTACAAAACACTTGTAAAAACTCAGTAAAATCTTTAAAATACCTTGTAAATTTTCCCCGCCAAAAAAATTTTGCCAAAAAAATTGCGGAATCACTTTTCCCGAAAAAAAAATTTTGGCGGGAAATTTGCGGGATCACGTTTCCCGCCAAAAATTTGTGGGATCACTTTTCCCGCCAAAAAATATTTTGTATTTTGTGGACCTAATTTTGTTTCAAATAAGGGTAAAATGGTCATTAAAAATTAAAAGAGGACAAACTTAAAAATGGACACTCAAAGGGGGTATTTTTGAAAAGGGGTATTGAAAAAGGGGCAAATTTAAAAATTTCTCTACTAAATATATGTTCATATCATATTCGATTACGCGAATAATTGGTAAATTCTGTAGTTACCTCAAACAAATCTCTATTTCAACAACCAAAGAATTAGAAATTGAAAAAAGAATTTCCTAAATTAATTCAAAATAATAGCTAACTTTCTAAATTAATTAAAAATAATAAAGTTTTAGAAGCGATTCATTTATAATATTTTGATTTTTGATCTAACTGAATTATATGCAATCTCATTTTGTGGTTGTTAATACATTGTTAAGACCATATTAATTTATTAAAATAATTTTATTTTCCGTTTTCATATCTTAAAAAAATATATCCATAATTGAATATAATTAAAAAAAGAAAATATATTCATTCTAATATTATATAGAGGGACTGAAAAAAATCTAATTATATTTTTTCAATTATTATTATAATATATCACAACTTTATTCTAAAATATATAATATATATATTTTTTGTAATAAATAAAATTTAACTCGTACTGTAGTACGGGTGATGATCTAATTTATTAATAAATTAGCAGATTAAAAGGAGGCAAGTGTGCAGGAAATCTCCAGCGATGTATAATTATAGCCGTTCGTTAGGATTCTACGCAAAGTATCGTGTGTCGTGGATCTAATAAGGGTTATAGCCGTTCGCCAGGATTATACGCAAAGTATCGTCTGTCGTAGATCTAATAAGGGTCGGAAGGAATTGTCTATTGTAGAATCGTCTATGTAACAGTTCTCATAATTTGCAATAAATAGTAAATCTAGACGTCAAAAAAAAAAATATAATCAAGTTTTTTGTTTGAAATCTTTTCAGCGACAAGCAAAATATATCATCGAAGAAAATTTTACCCTAAACAATCCATTAGCAATTTTGCATAGTATCAGATTTCTGATATCTCAGTGTATCATGTAAGTGTGTAAAATGTTTGAGATTTTATGATTAAAATATAAAGAAAAGAAGAAAACAAAACCTAGAATCTAAGAAATCTTATATTAATAGAAAAATACTAAATATGTTGAATATTAAATCAAATATCATTGTTTTTAACTTTTAAGAACATGAATATGTTTCTATCATTAAGGGTAAAAATGTCTATACGATTAGATATACCAAACAAAATCTACAATATATTTCTTTTTATACATATTTTATATATTTATTTATTTATTTATTTTGACAAAAAATAAATACAATTTTTAAAATTAAATATATAAAGTTTGTTAGAGCAAATAATCTCAAATAATTTTACATGGTGCACTAAGAAAAACAATTGCTTATTTTCTAGTCTGATCTTAATGTATAAATAAAATAACTTACTCGGTTTACAAAAAAATAAATAAATAAATAAATAAAATAAAATAACTTACTCTGACTTATCAAAATGTTGTTGCATATCAGTATTGATCAGTACCTTGTTGATTAATCTACAAAATTCTATGTAGAAGTACAATGTAATGGGGACGAAATTCCGACGCATCTTTCTCTCTCTAGAAGATTTGCTCCTCCGCTCAGCTCCTTCTCTTCTTTCCCTCCCCCGACGTCAGCCTCACGCCGGTGGTCGGAAATTGCTTCCTTATGCCGAAGAAGAAGAAAAAGAAAAAGCCACTTCGTGGGGTGGTTCTGGCTTCGTCTAAGTTTGCGGTGCTTTATGCTCGTGCTCCTGCTTCTTCCTCCGGTGGTGGTCAAACTGGTGGTTCCGGTGTTCCAATCAAGTGTGCGGCTACAGTTCCGGCAGTTTCCGATTTGGTTTCTTCAGATCTTGGTTCTGTGAGTTCAGATCTGTCGTTGGTTATGGCCTCGGGGGCTGTGCCAAACCCTGAGCCGTCCCTTGTTGCGTCCTCTCTTGTCTCCGCTGTTGATGGCTCTGCCTCCGGTGTTGAGACGTCTGTCTTGTCGGAGGCTAGCCGGGCTATCCCCTCCCTTGCGCAATCGACAGTCTCTGAGACAGACTTGGGCATCGCTCCTCGGGCTGAGAGGGTTTCTGAAATTGTTTCAATGGCGGTCCTGACTGACCCTGTGAGGGTTGTGGAGTCCTTTTCTTCTGGAAAAATCATTGTTGAGCCTGGTGTTGCGTTGGTTCAGAAAGGAACCGATGATTCGTGGGTGGATTTTGTTAGAGGTTCTTCGAAGACTCTCTCTAAGAAAGGCTCGGGTTTCTCCTTGCCTTCAGGGAAATTGTGCGTCAAAATCCCAAATGGGGTGATTGAGAGAAACAAGAGATCATGGGAATTTTTTTTTTATCCTGGGTCAATTTTACTATGATCCTCCTTCTCAGAGAACGATCCATAGCATAGAAATGGTATATGGAACAGGCAATACAGAGATATTTCTGTCTCAAAAATGGAATGAAATGCTTTCTTGTTCAGGATCCCAAACTCGTTCACACGTAGGAGGGTCTTGAACCAGCGTCTTTGGGTTAATATTTATATTTGTTTTTTATTATTTTATGTTTAGGTTGGCTGATTTTATAGCCATAAACTAGTTGCATTCTCAGCTTTTCCCCCTGAAAATTCCACCATAAACTTAGATAATTCTCACAATTGCAACATATACTTTCGGATTCATTCTTAAAACTACGCCTCCAATTGAACCGGCCAATAAACCGGTATCACATAACCTGGTTTGATTTAATTCAAATTTAAACCCGAATTTTCTTCTTCTTCACCCGATTTTGACCCAATTTATTTTTTCTTCTTCTTCCTCTTCATTCCCAGTTCGTACATACGTACCAAAATCATGAAAAAACAGCAAAAAAATAAAATGTATAAACATTTAACTTAAAAAAGGAAAGAGAAGTGAGAGAGAGGTGTTGTTGCAGCTTTAGCCCAAATATCTCTCCTTTTTGCAGAGCTTCTTCTTCTTCTCATCATCGTCTTTCTCCAAAATCCCAACTTCCTCTTTCACAGTTTCTTCGTCTCCAGCATTTTCGCGTGTTGTAACCTAATCCAATCTTACCCATCGATGGAATAACATCACCACGCGTCAGAATCTGTGTCCTAGGACCGAGCGATCTCCATCTCCTGTCCAGATTCGATTCCCACCAATCCCAAATTCGTGAAATTCTCTAGGGTTTTAGTTTGAATCTCATCAGATCAAGTCGACCCATGAAGAAGAAAGCGATGAAGATGGCGACGAATGGCCGGTTTTTCATAATCGGGTTCAAGTACCCGATCTTTCTCACCATGTGTCACATGACGGCTTGTTCGTTACTCAGCTACGTCGCCATTGCTTGGTT